TGTTCACAAGAGATGTAGATTAGCGTATATAGTTTGTAAATTATATCTTTAAAAAGGAAATAATGTATTTGATACCTGAGATGAGTGGATCACAACTTGAAAAGCAATCTGAAGTCTGTGTCTCAGGACTCTTCAAAAGGTGTTGAAGAAAGAAAGGAATTATTATTGTTATCCTTAGCCTCATTCTGCAGTTAAGGTATAAAATTTTGATAGACAAGGTCTTGCTTCCTCATTGCCTTTAATTTGTGTAACATACAGTGCTGTTGACATTAGTGTAATCCCTGAAGAGAACATAAGAAAATGCACATACAGGTGCAGAATCTGAATATTTAGTTAAAATTTGCAAAGATCCATTAGTGGAACCAGTTTACTCTTTTCTATTCTCTCCAGTTATTAATGTAGATTACACTGTAATCCTGTAAAATTGAAAACAGTTTCTAAATAATTTGGAGGTAGGGAATGAAGTAGTTGCTTTGGCTGACCTGAAGTTTCTTTAATGACCTGAAGGATGGAATAGGGTTACTCTTAATAGGCTTGTGGATCACACAAAGGGGCTGCGGTTTGACAGGAGAAATCATCTAAACATATAATTATTCAAAATACCACTTGAAATAATTTGTAATGGGTTCTTTTAATCCATGGTCAATTAAACCATACCTATATGGGATGAAGTCCCAGAAATGCAAGTGGAGTTTTAAGAAGTACTTCTTTAAATGCATGATATCTATTGGATGAGATTATTTTAAGCATATACATTTTAAGTTTAAAATTTTCAGCTGTTAATGATCTTTTCTACCAGAAAATAAATTTTTAGAAAATAAAATCTTAAGACTAATTTTCAACTATCTTAGTTAACTAGCTTACTTGTGGTTTTTGGAAAACAGTCTGTGCTTTATAAATGTGCAGGTGATATTTATGTTAAAATATTTTAAAATCATAGGATACTCCAAAATTGCCTATCTCTATGACATAAAGATACCAATGAGGTAAAAATAGTCAGTTTCATTAAATAATTGGGAAATTTATTGCATTTTCTGTGTATGTTGTCATGTACAGTAATGTCTACAAAATGAAGGTGTAGAAGGCATGCAGAATTAAGCTGAATTTAGTTTTGTGTGGGTAGCCTTCAGGTGGAAGGGAAGCAGACACTGTGGAGCTTTAATGTATTATTTCACCAGATTCTTTAGTGTTGTGTTGCAGACTTGTAGTGGCAGGATTAAAGATGTATATATCTTTATATCCAAATAATAATTCCTGTGTAAAGTGTTATAGGTCTGAGTTGTGCAAGACTTTTGATAACCGTATCAAGCTTTAAGCTTGCATTGCTCTCCACATAAAATCAGCTTAGGTAAAAAATGGTAAAGAAGGACAAAAAAAGTTGAGAAAGACATTAGGTGACCAAACACAGGACAAGCCTGGAGGCACAGTATAGTAGCTGCCAAAAGCACTGCATGTAGTTTGCCAAGAGGCCACCTCCTAGTGAAACATCTTCCATGGCTTTCCTGGCCTTGGCTCTTTGTAATTTGACAAACAAAGTAGAGAAAGAGAAGAGATGCTGGGAAAATTAGGCACATGTGATGGTGATACGCATTAAAATACGCAGCAGTAGGGAAAGCTTTAAGGTAGTAAGTGGAAGTAAAATACACTTCAGCTGAAATAAAGTAGGAAAAAGCAGAAATGTCGCATCTGTAAAAGCTGTGCACATGTGTAAAATGAAAGGCACTAATTTTACATAATCCCAGTTTTGCATTTAATCAGACCAACCTATGTCCTTTACTAGGTTTGCTTCCAGCCAATCAGTGTCACTAGTTCCTTGAAGAAACTTTAAAAAACAAGTGCTGGCATTGCTAGTTATGTTTTTAAGAAGCCGCATTAACTTACAGGGTGGGGATCTCTTATGATTGCTTCAGCTTGTGTATGCAGTGGTGGAAGAGAGCTGTGTGGCTGTCAAGGAAGGGAAGGTGGAAATTCCATGATTTCTAGCTAGGAAAGGGAGAGGGATGCCTCCTTTTGGAGACAGCCTGGGGGGCAGCTCTGAAATTGCAGTCTTAGCTAAATGCAAATCTTAAAAGAAATTGCAAAAAATAAGGAAAGAAGGAAGGTATGGGAGGGAGTATAACTGTGAAAAGGAACCCACGATCAAAAGCGAGTGAGAAGACCAAGTTGCTTTAGTTCATCTCTCTACAGTGAACATAGCCTTTGTGTGAAGCTGAGAAAATACACAGTGGGCAGGGTAAAGCTGTGGGGGAAAGAAGCAAGTCTGATTATTTTTTTTTGTGTGTGTGTGTTTTCCTAATTTACCCTTTAGCATCTTTAAATGTATGATGATTCTTTCCATGTTAGATTGAGCCATGATCTGTCTAAACCTTTATCCTGTTTGGGTAAGAGAAAGTAAGAAATGTTTAGGGAGAACTGTAAGAAATGCACTGTATGTAGAGGGAACTTTCTCCTTACTTGTCTTAGCAGTTTTGGGAAGTGCCTTTATTTTCCATGATACAATAATCAATTAAAGATTTTTACAAAAGGTCATTCACCATATGTATTGGTTTTCAGATACTGTCAAAGCATTCTACTTCATGAGTAGGTAGCCGTTCATATTTTAACTAAGCTAAATAATCACTTGTTGAGCATTGTATGAAAACTGTTGGAAAAGCACAGTATACAAATTGCTTGTGAAACTGGGAAACGTATTCACTGTATTCTTTAAAGCAAGTGATGGACTAAAAAAACACGGGCTCTTCCTATCATAAACATCACAGACCTATTCTCATTGCAAGTACAGAAATAAGTTTACTAACCTTTAAAGCTATAAATGAATCTAGAATTGCCACATGAACTTGTCTCATTGCTCAAAAAATAATTAAAGAATTTGAAAGTTAGTTTATTGGAAAGCAGTTACTCTAGACCTAACTTGGAGTTGTTTAGATAATACTAGCAAGAATGTCTTTGTGGGCTAATCTATTTTCATGCTTGTGGTTATTTAAGATACCCTCCTAGAAATCATTGTAATATTTAATTAAAATGTTAAAATACTTAATTACTGTAAACCACAGGGGATACCAATATTGTAATTGCATTTAAGATTAGGCAGAAATTTTTCAAGTCGTGCTGATGTTACTAGCAGTGGCATCAGCATTTTACCCTTTTTATTGTTTAAAAACTGATTAACTGCAGCATTATTGTAAAACAGGAAGATATAAAAAGTTAATATGCATTTTAATATATAACACTAATACAGCATTGAAAGGAATGCCTTTAAGTGCATCTGTAAGCTTGTTTGATACATTATGGCCTTGCTATTTGGAGGGGGTATTTTTTTCCTGCTCAGCAGGATTGGCTTTTTATTTGAGTTTCTATGATGGCCAAAATGTTACTTTCTGGAATACATGCTTGTAAGAATAGCACAAGTGGGTATATGTTACAGTAAACTAGTTTAAGTTATAGAGAGGACAAAGTGCTTGAAATTATCCAGTATTTTTTATGGATATGTTGTTATTAGTTGAAAGAGATATTAGCAGTGAAACATACATGACTGGCAGCTGAAAACCTGTTTGGGAATATCACAAATCGATTTATGCTATGGTATTGGTCTTATGAAAAAATAATAATAAAAAAAGTTAGTGAGGAAAAACCTTCAGTCCTGTTTAAGTGTCATGTAGTTCATGGCTCTTAATTTGTATAAAAGCTTGCTTCACTTGTCGTAATGTTGCAGAATGTGCCCTAAACCATTTCATAGCTGTATAGCTACCTGGAGCTTATATAGTAAGTCAGAGGGTAAGTTTGCTGGGGTTTTTTTTAAACTTGTGTATGCCTACTTACCTAGATCACCGCCTTCAGCCAATGAAGACCTCTGGTCCTAACAATGCAGAATCCACTGATGCGTGTTTCTCTCTGGCTCTTGGTGTAGCGTGTGTGAAAGATAGGAGGAGGTAGCTGCCAGTGGGTAGTTTGGCAATGATCTTGGGGTAACGGAATTGGGGAATAAGGAGAAAGGGAGACAGACCACATGTATATGTCAAAACAATGGGACTAACTCTTCTAGATAGTTGATACCAGTGGAAGGAGAGCATCTTCTGTGTGAATACTGCAGCTGGTGTTTGCACCCATGTCCACCATGGAGATGGTGGAAAAAAATAGAAAGGAGGCTGTTTGTGATGGGGGATGCATAAAAGTTTTGGGAGGCTCATCTAGCTAGGTTTCCTCTGCTTCGTCTAGCCAAGAATGAAAGGTGCTCTTCTGCAGAGTGATTCGGAACATGAGCCTAAAACAGCTTCTTTAGAAAAGTTCCTCTCAGAGCCTTCAGTCAGCCTCCCACGGATGCCTTTAGTCTTTCTGAACATCAGCCTCAGGCCTCTCCAGTGAAGCAGTTGCAGTGAAACACTGCCTCCTGCTTATGGTAAGCAGAGGTGGTTGTGAAAATTATGGACGGGTAATTCAAGATACTAGTATATACCAAAATCTACAAATATTTCTGATTTTGGAAATACTCCCTTAAGCATGCACATTGTATTTCAGTTGCCAAATGGTTTGTCTGTAAGGTAGTTTGACATTTGGAAGTTGTGAAGAATCTCCATTTTCTATAAATGCAGGGATTGGCGCAATTACAAAACAACCCCACCCAAACAAACAGAACCCCCAAACCCAAACAACCAAACAAAACTACAAGAAAAACCTTCAAAACCTTCCCTTTTTATCTTACACCTCTTTTTTTGCACTGTGGTAAAGTCAATTTGTAAATTAGTTTTGACCTATGTTGGTTAGATACACAGTGTGTTAATGCATACATTTTAGCTTAAGCCAAACAGGAAATTTAAATGGTGAAAGTTCATATTCATGTCCCAGATAATTTTTAAAATGAGATATTCAGGAAACTACTGGTGTTGCCAATGAAGTTATATGTAAATGTTCTTGTTTTAAAGGTTGCATCTCTGTAAGGCTTTCTTCAGTATTTGCTGCTACAGTGAATTTACCTAGAGAATATTTTTTTTTCCTTAAACCAGAAAGAACTCTGCAATATGATACTTGACTGCTGTGCTCAGCAAAGAACATATGAGAAATTCTTCGGGTTACTGGCGGGGGTGAGTTCTATTTTCAGATTTTACACTTTATGGTAGATAATTTAATTTGGTTTACTCTGTTTTTCTGTTTGTCAAACTTAACATTTTAATTGATAAATAATACTAATAGTCTAGCATTCTGGAAATGTTTATATTGCTTGGTTGAATTAGTGAATTAGATTAACTTTTTGATTGTAATCAGCATAGTGAATGCAGAATGAGAAAACTAATTTTCTCTTCATATCATTGCTTTTTTTTATTATTTTTACCTTCCTCCTTTCTCATTAAGGTAGAACAATAAATCAGTGGCAAAGGAATGGTACTAAAAAGAGGTTAAAGTATTAAAGAAGGTATCCTTTTTACAGTACTGAAGTTTAATTTTGGAGACTCCCGACCACTGTGTTCAAAGCTGCTTAGTAGGGTTGTGGGTTTTTTTTTTTTCTTTAGAGCACAAGACTGAATGAATACCTTCTGTTCAGTCTTTTTGTTTGTTTTTCAGTGAACAGCTATCTCTTCAGTTTTGTGTAACTGATTGGAAATTTAGTTACAGCTATTTCTTAGTTAAGTTTTCTTTATCTATGATATTGACAGATCTGATGAGTTAAGATAAAATACTTGTCTTCTAAAGTGAGCAAGTTATGCTGAATCGCAGTGACTTTTTCCATTTGTATTTTTAAGCATTATTTGAGGAAATATTTCTGCAGTCATTTACAAAGCACCATCTGATGAATCTACAGGTTTAGTAGACTATAAATGTTAATTTCCATGTTCTTTGGAATGTTTCTGACCAAACTGCCTTACCTGCTATCTCTCTAATTTTAGTAATTCATTGATGTCCTGTATAAAAAGTTACATTTGATGGGGTTACATCAGGTGAAAATATTCGATGTGCAGAAATAAAAGAAATTGCTGAATATCTTGCTGTAGTTCAAAATTGATAATTACTACTTTGCAATGCAGATGAGTTTCTTGTTCCAACAAACTGCTGAAAGCAATGAATATATCCATATGAAGGTATAGTCTTCTCCTTCAGGGGTTATTTAAAAGGAAAACCTTGCAGTAAATATTTGCACCATTAGGTCACTTACATGTAGGTTATTTGCATGTTTAATATTTTGTTTAATCTGGTTGTTTAAATTGTACAATGTTGTCTCAGCGTTTTTGCATGTTAAAAAAAGAATATATGGAATCCTTTGAAGCTATTTTCAAAGAACAATATGATACCATTCATCGTTTGGAAACAAACAAACTGCGGAATGTTGCCAAGATGTTTGCTCATCTACTGCACACCGATTCAATTCCCTGGAGTGTAAGTAAAAAAAGCTGTTGTCCTAGATTTCTTTCTCAATAACCAATTTCCTGTATTCTGAAACAATTACATTAGTTTTAGTATTTACTCTGCAATCTGGAACTACTTGTATTTGTAGCAAACTGGATTGTCTTCTCAGATTCTGTTGAATGATTCTGGTTTATTCCATATCCTCTTTCTGCCCCCTCTGCATAGTCATCCTCCCAGCCCATTCTGAAGTAGCTATTTTGAACTGTTATTTTCTGGAGCTCAGCTGAAATTGGTTGATTAAAATGTATTACTTTTAGAATTTTGAACTTTTAAAAGTAGAACTGTCTCCAAATAGCTGAACTGCCCCTAAAAAAACAAGACTAAAGAAACTTTTTAAAATAGTATTTATATATAAAATTAGAGGCTTTATAGAAATACAAGAAATATTAAAATATTGATCTTTTGTGACTTAAGTACCAAATAAAAGCAATCTTGCATTCTGAGATATAATACTACAATGTTACAAGTGAAGAAATAAATATCAAGGTAACTTCTCTTTTCATGCTGTTTTAGTCTTATTTTGTATTCCAGTCTAATTGTCATTCTTCAGGCACAAACAAGTCCAAATATTTAGCCTCTAAGCCCTATATGTGCAATTTCCCAACAGTTCATGCTCTTGTGGAGTTTTGCTGGATAAAGTAAGTCCTTAAAGAATTACTAGCATAAATATGATCGGAAACTGCTTCCAGATGGTAGAAAGGAATTTTTGAGGAAGAAAGTCTTGATTAGGGATTTACAAGATTTACTTTCTTGAGGGGTGGGTAGGGGGGAAATCAGTGTTTAGTTATTTTAGGAGGATAGAAGTTTTTAAGATCAGTAAAAGGATGTATATTTAAGCTTAAGGTTTTTCTATATATATTTTTCTAAATATTTTCAGGTCCTTGAATGTATAATACTGAGTGAAGAAACTACCACATCCTCCAGCAGAATTTTTGTCAAAATATTCTTTCAGGAACTCAGTGAATATATGGGACTTCCTAATCTAAATGCAAGATTAAAAGACGAGTAAGTTGAAATTTTATTTTCAAAATTGTGAATTCAATTAGCTTCTTTATCTGAAAAAGTACAAATAAGAACTCTTGGTTTCAAGTTCAACTAAAACTGCAGTTCTGTAGCTGCAGTACTTCAAGACTAAGCTCATTTATAGATTTAGTCCTTGCAAAGAGTCCCATTAAGCTGAGCATGATACTGTCAGTTTGTTACCAATTTTATTTGCCAGTAATGCTCAGCTTGTATAAAAATTTTCAAAGTGCAAGTTTACTTATATGTATTGTCAGCTATATAGGTGTGTAATAAATGTTATTGTGGCTTCTTTTTATGACAAAATTTAGGAAAAACACATTAACTATTGATAAGTTTTTCTAGGATTAGTTACTTATCCTCAAGTGTAGCTTAAATAACACATGCTTTTAAGCCTTTGTGTGATTTAATACATTGCATTCTCCCAGTGTTCCTTTCAGTTGTTTGAACTATTTCCTGTAAGGTGGGATTCTTTATGTATGATGAAGAATTAAGTAGATGCTTTAACTCATGTAAATTTGAATTTGAAGTTATATTTAGGGCCCTGTTTGATTGGGACTTCAACATACATACCTAAGTCTTTGAACTTCTTAATCAACCAGCGGTATCCTTTGCTATCATAGGCTGCTGCTGCTGCAATTCGACAAGTCTCCTCAGGGTTTCACAGAATCAGACTTTTGTTGTCATAATCAACAGTATATATGTCACTTCTATGAGTGAAGAAGCTCCTTTTCATAAAAGAGCAGATTTTTAAGTAGCATTTTGGTAAGATGCATCACAGATACAATGAAAGTATAGAAAAATGCAGGAAGAGAAAATTTTTTGCTGTCCTATGGAGATACACGCAGTTTCTTTTTCAGCTTACTAATGTCAATGAGAATTAGTGCTAAGCAGGCATAGTGTTTAATTTAGATGTTTGTTTCCGTCAGAACACTGCAGCCTTTCTTTGAGGGATTGCTGCCTCGGGATAACCCAAGAAACACTCGCTTTGCCATCAATTTCTTCACTTCCATTGGCCTGGGAGGACTAACGTAAGGAACACTTACTATTTTATACTTACTTTCCTTATCTCCCCTCACACCTGCCAAAAAAAAAAAACCCACCCAACTAAAAATAAAATTTTCTTGTTAATTAGGGATGAATTACGGGAGCATCTTAAAAATGCACCAAAGATGATAATGACACAGAAACAAGATGTTGAGTCATCAGATTCCTCTTCGTCTTCAGAGACAGACTCTTCCTCAGATTCTGATTCTGACAGCAGCAGTAGTAGCTCAGAATCATCCAGCAGCAGTGACTCCTCATCTACTAGTGATGACAGCAGTGACTCAGGTACTTAAACACTAGCTATGTAACTATTTGCATGTCTTTTATTTACTTCTATACACCTATTAATTTCTGTTTCTGTGTATACTTATTTTGTGGAAAATCTAGCTACAGACAGTGTCAGTTCCTCTGCTTTAGAAACTAATCAATGATTTTAAATGCACATGGTTTAAAATACTGAATATTGCTAATGGAAATTTATGCCAAAATTTAGAGAAACTGATTTCCATTTTAATGGACTTAAATATCTGAGAAACATTGTTATGTAGATTACTTTTTTACATTAAGCTGAAGTTCTAGTACTGTGCAACAGGTATTAGGCTCATTCCTTATTGATATCTTTGTGGGATGCTTACTGGTGAACTGTCTCTAATTCCTCTTAGTCAGGAAGAGTTTGTGCTGTGATATAGTGAAGGTTCTTTTCTGTAGAGAAATCTCCAAGGAAAAATTAGCTGTTGCTGACAACTTAGTTTCTTGTCTTTTTGTGCATTATAATTAATGTTTAGCATGTTATACCATCCTGCTGATGTAGAACCTTCTTTTTTGACATGAAGTGTCATAAACATTGCTTAATCTATAAAGTAGTGTGTGTTAGTGTGTGCACTGGGTATAGTGTGGGCAGATGATAACACAGCAGGACTTTCTATAGTACAGAAGCTTGCTGATTCAGAGTTAATTTGATTTATTCCTTTGAGCTGAAAATGTTGATTGGTAAAAGCGGTGTGAGCTGTTCATGCTTTAGAAATGCATTTTTGTTTTCCATAGTAACCTTATTGTACAAAATCCAATTTGTGTCTCATTATATTAATGGCATTAATGACAACAAAGCACTAGAGGATGTCACAGTTAAACAGGGTCAGAGAAGGCCTTGGTTCAGCAAAGAGCCAGATCTTCTGCACAGACAACTGCTTGATAGGAATCAGAGAGCTAAGTCCTTAGTGACAAACCAACAGAGTTTGCAGTCTGCTAGTATGAACACTTTATTTTTGTAGGTTAAGACCTTCTTTTTTACTGCTTGTCCTCTCTCCATTTAGGAACACATTCATAAAAGCTTGCATTTTGATAACTTTGAAGCCTGATTTAACTTCTCCCCCCCTCCCTGCTTCTGACTCTTGTACTTAATTCCAGAACACTAATTAGAGATAACTGTTCTTTAATTATAAGCTTGGTTGAGGTCCCTTACTGGTTGTAACTCTGTCTTACTCTATCTTGTGTGTTTGCAGCTTTTTAAATCTTTAAAAATCTTTAAAATAACTTGGTAGAGTTGAAAGGCATTTTTCAGAGGAGTGTTGCTACACTACTTCAGTGGTTTAACAGTGCAGTGTATAAGAGAAAACAGAAAATGCCATGATTAGAAATTGAGAAATTGAACATACAGCTAAACAAGGGATTACTGTTTTACTGACAACTAATGTGTGGAACTTCTTCAGCTAGCTCAGCTCAGCACTGCCATAGAGAGGTCACTGCAACCAAAATGGGTCCAGGAGAGGACGAAATGCGTCTTACTAGAACAGCTTGTTTCTTTGTATTTACTTTCTCAGGTCTTTTTCTGCTTTCTGATGGATGTAAAATAGTAGAGAAAACACTGATTTTAATATGTCAAAAAATACGAATTGATCCATCATTGTGTTTTATCAGTATGCCAGAAAGCCTTAAGTTAGACATAAGACTAGCAGCTGCTGCAGGATTCAGATACTTGGTGTGCTACTAAATCAGTTTGTGGCTGTGGTATTCTCAAAAAGTGATTAGCAACAGCTGTTATGGTGCTAAAGTTTATACAGTATGGTCAATTAATGTTTATTCTAAATGTTTGTTACTCATAAATACTGTCAAGTGAAATCTAGGGGCTCCTTGTAAAAGAGCAAACTTTTCCACTGAGGTAAGCAGTACAGTGATTTATAAATATGGAAGTTAGGTTTAGTCTTAAATTGTTAACAAAGCTGTCACTGTTTCTCCTGAAAATGAGCCCGAGGGCCATTGTTAATGTTGCTGCCGTACCAATGTCTCAAGCCGTTTCAGCATACCTTTTGTTTCCTTGTAAGATAGTGTTCTTGTGTTAGTAACAGTGGAGTTACTAAGAATACTGAAGCTTGGAGGGAAAATAGAGAATAGTCTTAGGCTTGATAGTCGGCCCACACTTTTATGGAGAATTTCATATTTTATGTAAAATAGAAAGCCTGTAGTGAAGACAAACATTTGAGGATAATCAGTACCTGCTCAATTAAAGAATGGGTGAATTTTCCCCCTTTGCATGAGACAGGCGGGACGGGAATAAAGTCCAAGGTTATTATTTTGAAACCTTTGTCCAGATACATATACACAAATGTTTTCTGAAAAAAAAAAACCAAAACAAAAAACTAGAACTTTCTACATAGTTTAACAAGGGTAATAAATTAAAATGTAACTTTATTCCCTTATTGTTTTATAATTTCAGATGCTCCTAAAGCCAAAAGAAAGAGAATGCAAAAAAAAAATAGAGAATCTGATAAAGGTTCCAGGAAAAAACAAGAAAGGAAAAGAAAATCACATGAAAAAAAAATGAGAAGGAGGCAGCAAGAGGAAAGGAGTGATACTGAGAGCAAATCGGAAAGAAATCACCGAAAGTTGAGGGAATCGCACAGGAGAGATGATATATCAAAATATCATCACAGAGTTGAGTCCAATGGCAGAGACAGTTACCACAGTGGAAAGGATAGGAACCGTGAAAGAAGTAAGGATGTAGAAAATAAACACAGTAATTCGAAACCCAAGAAAGCAGACAGAAGAGCTTCTTTTTCTGATGATGAAAATTACAGGCACTGGAGTAAAGATAATGAACATCACAGTAGAAGAAGAGAACGATCAAGATCTGGAGAGAGAGCCCATAATAATTCAAGTCCTAGAGAGGAGGAGCAAGAAGATCGATACAGAAATGGTTCAGAGAGGCACAGAGAGAAGTACAACCATTATTCTGACCAGTACAGGGAATCCAGAGAATCCAGAAAGAATGAGGACAGACGAAGAGAGAACTCCCCACACAGACGAAAATAATGCCTAGCCAGAGGCTGAAATTAATGTGCGTTTCTGAGCTGTTAAAACTGTATCTTAAAACATGTTACTGAACTGTCTTTGAAAACAAAAATTTTGTACAAAGTAATAGTTTGCATTTGTAAATTTTACTAGTCTTTTTCAAATTTTCAGTATCACTTTTTTATAACTGTTGCATTGAGTCTTTCTGTTAAAGTCTTCCTTTGGAAAGATGAAGCTCTTTATTTTGTGAATAAAACTATTAAGATCTCTGTGAAATGTGTGTTTTTGTCGCTTAGTTTCAAATATTTGTAACTTCATAGTCTATAAAGATCAGTTTTTAACTTTTCCTGTTAATTGAAAGTCAGATACTGAGATTAGGGTGATAAATGTAAAAATCTGAGATTATAATGTGAATGTTAGAAGAGTAGGCTTGATGAAGCTTTCCAGCATCAGTGCGACTGCTTCTGGCATTTCATTTATTCTTTTGACTGCTCAAACATAAAAGCAAGCTTGATCAAAATTTTCAGGAAATACTTCAGTTGATTTATTTATTTTTTTTTCTTCAAGAGTTAAAAACTGGAAAAGCAATATCGCTGGTTTCAGCGTCACATTTGAAAGCGTGTCAACTTGTTCTGTTGCTTTTCACGATGTTTTTTAATACTGTAACATCCTGAGCTAGTTACACTTGTGATCTTAAAAGTGGGAGTTTTTTGTTCGGGTTTTTGTGTTTGTTGGTTTGATGTTGGGTTTTTTTTCTAAATATGAATTTGGTCTTAAAGTCATAGACTTCAACTTTAGCCCTACAAAGGATGTGTTTGAAAGACATCTTTCCCATTTTTCTACATTCCCTATAGAAATGAAATAGGAAATCTAAATAAGAGGTGGTTCAAATCTTTCAGACATTTTGCACGCTGTGGCTTGAAGTGCTCAAGTTTATTGCAAGCAAAGTTTTAAAAAAGAAAACAAAAAACCTTAGTTGCTGCAGCAGTTTCTAGTATAACATGTTCTGCCTGGATCCGTTTGAAGCAAGTAGCTCAACATTCATTGTACAAGTAATGAATCAAGATCATCAGGTTAAGACTCTAAATCTCATTAGTAAATAAGGAACATTTTGAAAGTCTTTCAGCATGAAATAGAAAGTAGTGTAGACACTGTTTTCTATTTCTCTGTCCACTAGTGTGGACAGAGGTGATAGTTCTATATTAACGCCATTATTGATGCCATAAGATTACATTTTTTGTACTTTGTGAAATGAGCACAATTTCTGGGCATATGAGAACTTAACACATTTCATGTATGAAATTGTATTTCATCTTGTATAAAGCTAAGAAACATATTTGAGCTGTTTTGTAACAGAAAATGGAACTATTCCTACGGAAATAGATCAGTTTTGCCTAAGTCTTGTTGCAACGTTTTTCTAAGAAAAATATCACATTTTAAATTTTTTTTCTGTATTTAACAGAATTTATTTCCGCAAGCCTTCATGTAATAAAATATTTCCAGTCAGAAGCATCTGCATGAAAAATAAATTCATATTGCAGAGAAAAAAATACGGTTTCTATCTTGTTATACCACACAGTTAAAAATGCTGTGGAGGTATCATGAAGTATATACTGATCAAACTGTGGTGGGGTTTTGTTGTACAATGCGCTTCTCATTTTCAAAATGATGTGTACATTTTTGCAATGTATGTGAATTCCAGGACAATTTAATTTCAAAGAACACTTTCTAAAAAATACTTCTGCTGATAATTGTTAGGTTGCTTTGATAGCTCTCTACAAACATTATTGAAAATGATCTGTACTTCGTAGTGGCTTAATTGTACAAACTTAATTTATCTAGAGTAATACTTCCCTTGCTATGTTATGGGTTTAATAACATAAATTTCATTAACCTATAACTTTTGAGGTATTCTGCTCAGGTTAAAAAGCTTGTTAATTAAATCTTTAATAATAAAACAATAAATGTGAAAGCATAAAACATGTATTCAAAAAAAAGTGTTTGATCTCAGAGGTGCTTGATCAGGAGGTGCCAGCTTAAACATCTCCAATTTCTGATATTTCATACAGGATGATAAAAATATAATGCTCATTGGTGGAAAAAAATGTAAAAGGATGAGATTAGGACTGGAGCTGGGGTTTTAACTGCATTTACAATTTCTTGGTGGGTTTTCTTTTTTCCCTTCCCAGGAATATTAATAGATATTTAATACAATGACCTATTTAAAATAGCAGTTATTTTTACCATTACTAGTATAAGTAGGCTAATGTTAGCTGGAAGCAGTGAGGCGATGAGCAGTAGTCCTCATGTGCACATGTAAAGAGACACATGCTCAGAAGGGCTGCACTGTGGCAGCCCAGGGGGACTGGTCAGTAATACCGAGAGCGTTTCCAGTTTTTAGCAGACAGTTGCTTAAGGACGTCCTGAGCCAGAGTCACTTTGTGCATCTCTCAGTAAGGCCTTGACCATTAAATGGCCTAATTTAATTTATTTCTGGTGGATTGTGCAGCATCTTGTGCCAGGAGTTCCATTATTTTGCCATATAGCCTGTCTGGGGTTTTTTACAGTTTTTGCCTGATTACTTTGATTTGCTACTTTCCAATGTGTTTTCTGAATAATGGTGTGTAGTTGCTTCCTGCTTCTCATCTTATCTGTGACTTCATATACCTAAGCATGTGTGTTCTTTGCCATTTCTTTTCCAGAAATTAAAATGCACCTCTAATATCTGTTAGTGTGGAACTGTTCTATAGCCCTGATCAGTGCTCCTCTCCTTTAATTTTGGTAGATTTTTTTTTCCAAGTCAAAATACTGTATAGTCTCCAAACTGAGGGTATTCCAGGATTTGCAAAGTGACATAAGAGTTTTGGGGGTTTGCTTCTTTTCATTGCATCTTCTGAATTGCTGTAGAGTAGAGGGATACATAGTGATCCTGGGCTTGCGTTCCTCAGCAGTAACAGCTACTTGTAGACCATGCCCAGTAATGAAGCAACTCATACATCTAGTCTGTAGTTAATGTTGGAGCTCTAGGTTGTGTTTTTAATAGAAGTTTTGTCTGAAAGACTTCAGGAAGTATTGGTTTTGTGACATTTTTTCCGTATTTTGCTCAGTTATTAATCTTTGTTACTTAAAAAACATGATTGAAAGAGCTTAGCCTTCGTTTTCTGATGTTGGGTCTGGTTGGATCTGTTGTCAGCTTCTTGGGTTGGCTCACACAGTCCCTCATGCTGGTCAGTGGTCAGAGATGAGTTCCTGTTGCACAGGGCTCTGTCTACTAACCACATTCACCTTGCAGGGAAGATGCCTTCTATGGGAAACTTCCAGACTCAGCTGGGTCTGAGCTTCTGTGAACCAAAAAGATGTTTGGGAAGGAACTTGTGATGACCTGTTCTGATCTTGCATGCTTACTGCCTTTCAAGGGTGGTTGTAATATCTAAGCCCATACATACAGTAAGAGAGACTGCATCCCTTTTGCTAGGGCTCCCTGGCCAAGTATCTGAATTTCCTTAACAGTGGTGTTAAGGAAAGGTATGGTATTATGGAGATAAGCTGTAACAAAGCCATCTTTTTATATAAATTATCAAAGTATTACCTCATAGTATTACCTTTCATAGTATGAAAGCAGTTAGATAAATTTTGGAACAAAACTATATACTTATTTTGTTTAAAATACTTTAAACTTGTCATTAACAGATCATGCTTTCTAAAGCAGTTTTAGTTGTTATATAAGCAATATTGCAGTCTTGGAATTGTAGGTAGTTCATCCTCACAATTCTGCATAGGAATGGGAACCTGACTACAAAAATGTTATTTCTGTTTGTGGTGTTCATGTTAAATAAATTTTACAGAGAGGTCATGCACATCTGAAAATCAATTTTGAAAATTATTAGCAGTACAATTAGATTTAGATGCTATGTTATTTTAACCTGGTAGCATGATGTTCTGTAATTTACTTAAGGCTCCAATAGCATAACTGTTCTTCACTTTTGAATGCAGGGTATACTCTAAAATAGGGTGGGTCATGTCAACCACCAGAAAAAATGCATGAACTACAGTGGACACATCAAACTCCAGTGGCAATTTAAGTACCTCCCTGTCATTAAATTTATATTTTTATGCCTATAAAAAGACACTAGCTCATCTTCATTCACCGTTCTTAAACTACTTTGAATTATCTTTCACTGTTTAGGAAAGCACAAGGCTAATTTCCTTAAAGAATCTTTAAAAGCAAGAGTCTATTACCATGTTAGCAGAGAGAATTGACTCCAGTTGCCCTTAGTAACATTCAGAGCAGAGAAACGTGTCCTTCAATTTATTTCCAATTAGGGAAGTTAGTATATTTTTTTAAATCTTTTTTACTTGTCAAAATATTTTGTTTCAGAAATGGTGACCTCAAAATGCAGAATAAAGGGGCATTTTAAGCATTTCAATTAAAACTCTACATAAAACATGTATTAGTAGGTTAAAAGTGGCATGGGCAAAATACTACTTTGTGCTGAAAAACCTTTAGGTCATTTCAGGAGATGTTCTGCTTTTTATATGTTTTCCTAAAGCAAGTCTGTAATTTGGCTGAGACTAGTTAGGGATTTTCTTTTCTTGTCTACTCATGACTATCATCAAGCATTTCCTCCTAACTTTGACAGGAAAAAAAAGGGGGGGAGGAAAGACTGCAACTTAAAACCTTAATGTTGGGAAAATGGTTTGTTAACCCATAAGCCGGACAATCTGTTAAGAAAATTAGCTGTCACATTTTGCATGTTTAAGCTATGTCCATTTTGAGTTATCTTTTTCCGCTATTTTATAAAACAAAATAAGGACCAACGTTTTTTCCTGAAGTTGAAAATAAGCTGCAACATGTCTTAAAAGAAAGTGGTGGGGAAAAGAGTAAAGGCATGGAAGAGGATGTGAAGCTCCAAGAAACAAAAAACCCTGTCTTGAGTATCAGGGTGCTCTCAGTAGGTAAGGTAAGGTCAAATCTGTTCTCACAGTGGGGGCCACTGACACAGGTGTGTAGGTGTAATGCTAATTGGTTTTAGCTTAGTGACTGGTGTTGCTGCTTAATTACTTAACTGGAATGTGCATCCTCCCTTTAAAATTGCTGGTCCCTTGGCTTGCTTTCAGTTGCTTACCTATTGCTTTTGGAGGTACTTTATGCCTCAGTCATAGCTGTGAAATCTCTTGGGAAATTTCAGATTCTGGGCTTTTTGTATAATAAAATGCTGTGTAAAAATTCCTTTGTAACTACCTTACCTAAATTTTCCTTTAACTTGAAGAAGTTT